GTTTGTTCCTTTTGTCACAAAGCAGGACATACTATTGATACCTGCTGGTCGAAGGATAAACCATCTTGGAAACGGTATGCATCGAAACATACCAAAGATTCTTCAGGTGAAGCTGAGAAGCAGGAAGCTGAGAAGCAGGAAGCTGAGAAGCCGGAAGCTGCGAAGCAGAATACTGCGAAGCCGAACTCTGCGAAGCCGCCTACTACACCTGCCAAGACACAAGCAAAAGAAGTTATCAATTGTATGACGTCAGTTTCTACCACCTACGATCCTGACGCTGAAGATCGTATTCACAATAACTTCAACGATGAACTCAATACGCCCATACCACCCGAGGTCTACGCCAACCTTGCACATACCTTGGAAGGTCCCAACACTTGGTATCTTGACAGTTGTTGCGGGCAGCATATGTGTTCATCAGAAAATCGCTTCGTCATCAATCAGCGTCGTCTTCAAAATCCATGCGTTGTAACCGTCGCCAACAACCAACGTCTTACAGCACACTGGATGGGTAACATCATTCTTGATTCTGTTGAAGAAGACTTCAGTCTTCATCTTAACGATGTACTCCTCGTTCCTCGACTTGGCTTCAATCTGATGTCATCAGCACAGCTCATGAGGAATGGCATTACTCTTCTTGGTGAACCGGGCAAGTTTACTTTAAAGTATGGAGACAGGAAACTCGGCACGGCGATTGAACAGAACGGTGTATTCGTTCTCAACTTCGTACCTGAACGCACCACTGCCGACTCCGAGAATATTCTCTCTCTTGGCCCATGGGAACATCGTGACGACATCGATTACACCGATGATACTGTTCCTCGTGAAGGAGTCGTACCCACATCTTCAACCACGGCTGCCGCTGTCATGCTGACCTTCGACAACCAAGGCTTAAATGACGTCCAAAACTCCCGAGATTATCTTGCGCACGTTGCTGGTTGGGGAGATACGACGAACGAAGGCACTTGGGGGGCACAGGAACCTGACGAAACCACTTGGGGAGAAACACCTGCTGATCATGACCAACGTCTTCTCACAGAAGCAGAGCAGCGTGTCGCTGACATGGAAGTTCTCGACTCCGGACGACTTGTCGGTGTTGAACCTAAACCTGCAGCATCAGATCAAGAGAGCGGGGAGTTAGTTCTTTCACCGGGCGAATCCATCGACGTTGAAATCAAAGTTCCACTACCTAACCTTACCAGGTTTATCCCGCCTGTCACAGATCATGTTCACGCTGACGGTCATCGGCTGCTGTTATCTTTCTTCGCTAACGCCGATTATTATCTGCGCGCACAGGGACACAAAGCAACTGCAGACACCTGGCATAAGCGGCTTGGTCATCCGTCGCAGTCTACGCTTAACAACACCATCAAAGCAGCTGTTCTCGACAAGAATTCTCTTCTCTTACCTGGCGGCCTCGAAATGAAACCGGTTAATCGTCCATCACCCTGCTTGATCTGCCCAGTAGCAAATCTAACGCACGAATCATACCCGACTCATTTTCCTGGCGCTGAGGATTATCAGTTGATGGAAAAAGTTTACAGCGATATTCTAAACTTACCTGCGGAGGGTTTCAACGGCGAGAAATACGTTATCACGTTCACTGAAGCTTCTACTCGATACGTCTGGACTGGTAACATGACTAACCGTTTTCTTGCTTTCACAGCGTTTCGGACATGGCTACCTCTCGCAGAACGCGAGTCCGACACAAAACTCAAAACCTTCCAATGTGACGGAGCTGGGGAATATCGCAGCCTCGAGTTTACAGCGTACCTGCAAGAAAGAGGCATACGGCGCCTGTTCTCACTTCCTCACGCTCACCAGCAGAGCGGTGTCGCTGAACGTCTCAATCGTACTTTGCAAGAAAAGATGCGAGCACTACTCGCACAGTCCCAACTCGGCCCACTCTACTGGCCCTTCGCAATGGACCATGCAACGCTGTTGCACAACCTCCTGTCTTCATCAGCTTTACCCAAAAACGCATCACCTCACTTGTTATGGACAGGAAAATTGGGCACTACGAAACTTCTTCGCGTTTTTGGGTGTATCGTGCAATATCGTCCTCCCACCGCTCCGCTCGGAAAGTTCGATCAACGTGCTAAGTGGGGTCTTCATCTCGGTCTTGAGAAGCAGTTTTCTGCCTGGCGTATTCTGGATTATCGCAGTCGACTTTTAATTCCTGCCCGCGACTGTATTTTCTACGAAAATCTGACCCTTCCTGTCTTCGAACAGTACCTCGCCACGCAGCGTGACCCTGCTGCACTTTTCCACGGTGTTCGTTCATTCGCCAGCGCTGACACCGAACTCGCTGCCAGCGAAGAACCTGACATTGACGGTGCACGTGAAGCCGCTCCTGATCCACCTATCCCAACCACGTCTTCCAGATTTCCGGAATTCATTCCTCTCGTCGACGCTCATCCGGACGATGTTCGTGAAGTTCATCATACTTACCTGGTGGACGATCAACGACGTCCCATGCCAGCTGTGACTGACAGCAGCATCCGCGTCGATCCTGACGAAACTGGGGGGGCAAATGGTGAACAGTGTGAATCTCTCAATTTCGCAGGATGGACCGACGACAGTCCTAATTATCAAACCGGGCTTCAGATACTGGGACTCGCAGCAGCAGTACAGCATAATTCTTCAGAAGTCGCAGAACTGAAAACTGCCCGACAGGCCCTTTCAGGACCACATCGCGAAAAATGGCGTGAAGCCATGGATCGTGAACTGGCTGCCCTGGAAAAACGGGAGACTTGGGATCTCATACCCATCGAAAAAGCTGCAAATAAAAATGTGCTTACCGGTAAATGGGTCTTCAGGGTGAAGACGAAAGCTGACGGCACTTATGAAAAACATAAGGCAAGGTGGGTTGTTCGTGGTTTTGACCAAACTCATGGGGTAGACTACACGCTAACCTTCGCCCCGGTCAGCCGACACACAAGTGTTCGTCTCGTCATCTGCGAAGCAGCTGCGAAGAATTTTCCGCTTCGACAAATTGACGTCTCCCACGCATTTCTATACGCTGACGTCGATGCTGAAATCTACGTCGAATATCCACATACCTATCCGACAAATCCGCCAAGTATATGCAAACTCAAGAAGTCACTGTACGGCATCAAACAAGCTCCGCGACTGTGGCAGCAGCATTTGAATAGGAAACTTACAGAGGTTGGATTCCGACAATTGCCGCATGACCCCGGGATGTATCGACTAGACGACAAGGGGAGCTACGCGCTACTCGTGGCTTACGTGGATGATATTCTCTACATAAGTTCTTCGGCTTCCTTGGGTGATCGCATCGAAGCAGATCTGAAGAAATCTCTCGACTTCACCGTTTCCACCGAAGTAACCCAATTCCTTGGGTTAAACATTTCGCGAACCTCCTCCGCTATCCACCTCACAGCATCGAAATATGCCGAGTCACTCGCTAAGCGTTTCAAGATTTCTACAAATTACGTCGCTACACCCTATCGATCTACACTCACCGGGCACGACCCAAACAACACCAAACTTTCAGCAGTTGGTTTACAACTGTACCAGCAGCAACTCGGGTGTCTTCTCTTCGCAGCAGTCACGTGCCGTCCCGACCTTGCTTACGTCGCAAGCTATCTCGCACAATTTTTACGCTGCCCAAAAGAAGAACAACATCTCGATCTGCAGCGCGCTCTACATTACTTTGTCTCAACACCAACAGTCGGGCTGATTTTCAACACAGGAAAACCGACCGACAAAATATACCTCAGCGGATATGTTGACGCAGACCACGCTGGTGACACGTCAGATCGACGGTCACGAACAGGCTACATTTTCCGTCTCGAGCCCATTGGTCCGATTTCGTGGAACTCATCGAAACAAGAACTCGTGTCACTTTCCTCGGCTGAAGCAGAATTCATTGCCGCGTGTGCTGCAACTCGAGAAGGACTATACTTACAGGAACTGCTCGACGAAGCGAAGTTCGTCACGCCAAATCAGTTTACTTTGCAGTGCGACAACCAGAGTGCGATTACCATCGCCAACAAACCCGGCTTCTTCAATCGCACGAAACATATTTCACTACGTTACTTCTTCGTTAAGGATGCGATCGACAAAGGGAGAATGCGCCTTGTCTACTGTCCCACTGATGACATGGCAGTTGACTCACTTACCAAGAAGCTGACACGTCAGAAATTTCACCACTGCAACCAGCTCAGCGGAATTTCTGAGACAACTGGGTAACTACACCGAACTCCTAGAAGTGAAGGGGAGTGTTGAGATAATATCGAGACTTAAGCACTTCAAGGATATTCGTGTAGTACAGTAAAGTACCGATAGGCTGACGTAAGCAAAGCGCTACGCGCTCTAGGATGACGTCAGCACGTAGCTATAGACCTCGCGAAAAGTTACGTACCGTTTCAGAACTAGAATGGCACATTACAGTAGGCGAACAGGTACTTTACTCTAGTTATATATTTTGTATGTTTGTCATTTTAAAATATATCTGATTTCAGAGACATTGATCCTGAAACATATCACTACATGGGCTTTTATTAAGTCCAGACAAAGCCTTCATAACTGGCTTTAACTCATATAAGACTTCCGCTACGACAAGGAGCTACCATCATAAGTAGTACGATCCTATTCAAACACTTCAAATTCTAACAGAGGGATCTTATTGCAGGGAGATTACAGTACGCCAATTCTTGTCGTTCAGAGTCCCATCACCATTTGCAATGGCCCCCCTATCCAGTGTGGCCAACACCACCCTGTGGCAATCTAATGCCTGATTGGGTTCCACCTTGTGCATAGACATGAACAAACAAGTGCTCATCCCGGTGCCAATCGTTGTCTAGACTCCTCACCCATCGCATTCAAGGCCCATGCAAAAATTCAATAGTTAATCTTGCACGAAAGGTCACCACATATTTAAGCAAGCTCAACGTATGGTACTACTGTACTACTGCTAGAACCGCAATAAGCAAGAGCTTGCTGAATACATTGCAGCAATGAGAATAACTTACAAGTTACAACCACAGCTTCATATCTCTAACACACATCTCCTGCACCTTGCTGTCCTCCCCACAGCTCACCTGCACAGCCACTATCTCATTCCTATGCGCCTCCAGCCATGCTCTATCCCCCACCACCTTCCACCCAGGCGGGAATAATTGCTCTGGAAGCACCCCCACGATTGCTCCCGTTGGCCCCTCTCCTACATCTCCTGTGCCTCCTCCCTTGCCTGCTTCTGTACCTGCTCCCGCACCTGCTTCCGTACCTGCATCTATGCCTCCTGCTGAACCTGGACCCTCACCCAACCCAATCTCCTCCGCTCCCACAAGCCCCGCTTCCCGAACCATCTCAGCCACGGCATGGTTGAGAGCCCTTTTCAGAATCTCCGAACCAGAAAACACACCCGAACCACCTGCAGCTTCGGCTGCTTCTGCATTCTTACAATCTCTTAAAGCCCTGAGTGCCCAGCGACGCACCATGGCTTGCACAGCAGGGGAGGGGCGAAGAGCCATGAGCCATGGAGAGAGGGACCCCAGGAGGGACGGTGTGAGGGCGGTGGTGTTGGGGGGTGGAGGTGCCGCTGCCTGCTGCATGCTGTCCCCGCCCTTGCTCTCCGCTTTTGCTCTCAGTCCCCTCTCTGCTGCTCGTTGCGCCTCATGCGCGCCTGCTTGCTGTGTGCTGCCACCACCCCCACCCACCTGCTCCGTGCCATTTCCCAGCGTCTTCTCTGCCACCCCTTGTGCCGCTTGTGTCGCTGGTGCTTCTGCTTGCCCTGTGCTGCCCCCACCCTCACCCACCTGTACCGTGCTGTTTCCCAACCCATTCTCTGCTGCCCCTTTTGCACCTTGTGCCCCTTGCATGGCTGGCACGTCTGGCTGCTGCTTATGTTGCTGCTGCTGCTGCTGCTGCTGCTGCGGCGGGTCTTGGTGGGAGAGGGAGGGCAGCACGAGGGAATAGGATGGCGGGAAGTAGGGGCGGGCGTCCCGCAGCCACACCGAGTTGATGTCGCTGGGAGGAGGGGAGGGGGCATGGGGGAAGAGGAAGGGGAAAGGGTGGGGAATGGAAGGACGATTGGGGGCGGGCATCACGCAGCCACACCGAGTTGAAGTCACCATGAATTGCTCTCTGCTCTCTGCACTGCTCTCTGCAGCAATGTGCGCTGCGCACTGTACGTGTAGACAGCGGTGACGTTGGCAGCCAGCAGGTGAGCCAATAAAGGGTCAATGAGTTTAACATATGATTCTATTCTATCTCTAGCAGCACTGTGGCTTTGCTCATAGCAGTGCGCACTGTACCTGTAGACGGCAGTGACATTGGCGGCAAGCAGGGGGGCGTTGATGAGGAAGGCAGGGGGGAAGGAGATCAATATCTATTGAGAAATGTCCACTGCGCATTGTGCACTGTACCTGTAGACGGCAGTCACGTTGGCGGCAAGCAGGCGGGCGATGATGAGGGGAGGCAGCAGCAGGCACGTGGCAGCAGCCATTTGCAGGGACGTCCTCTCCTTGGGTCGGTCTACGGTGTGCCCCCCTGGCATGCGCATCACCTAGAGGGGGAGACACAGGGACGCCACGAGGTAGACACGGGGAAGACACGGGGAAGACACGGGGAAGACACGGGGAAATTCACCGGAGGCACAAAATTTACCTGAGGCAGAAGATTCACCTGGGGCAGAAGATTCACCTGGGGCAGAAGATTTACCTGGGGCAGAATATTTACCTGGGGCAGAAGATTCACCTGGGGCAGAAGATTCACCTGGGGCAGAAGATTCACCTGGGGCAGAAGATTCACCTGAGGCAGAATATTCACCTGGGGCAGAAGATTCACCTGAGGCAGAAGATTCACCTGAGGCACGGAGGCGAGGAGAGCTCTCCCAAGCAAAGGGATGCGGTTCATGCGCGCCCACCAGGTGCGGAACAAGGCGTCCTGGCCTGAAGGGGGCGAGGGTGGGGGAATCAGGCATGGAAGGGATAGGCGAGGCAGTGACATGTGGGGGGATGGAGGGGAATAGGTGTGATAAGGGATAGGCGAGGCGGTGACAGGAGACTGGACAAGGGAGGGATGTGGTTCATGCGGTTATGGTTCATGCGGGTAAACCAGTTGTGGAATAAGGCACCCTGGCCTGGAAGGTGGGGGGGGCCGATGGTGGGAAGGAGAAATAGGGAGTGCGGCACAGGGGAGGGAGAGATGGGTGAGGCAGGAGGGAGAGTTGGGATGGTAAAGCCAGGGATGTGGTTCATGCAGGTAAACCAGTTGTGGAATAAGGCGCCCTGGCCTGAAAGGTGGGGGGGAGTGGGATTATGGGGAGTCAGGCATGGGGAGGGATGGGTGAGGCAGGAGCAAGGGGTTGGAAGGCAGAGGGGAGGGACGCAGGAGCAAGGGGTTGGTAGACATATGGATGTGGTTTGTGCGGGTGAAGGAGGTGAAGGAGGTGAAGGAGGTGAAGGAGGTGAAGGAGGTGAGGGAGGTGAGGGAGGTGAGGGAGGTGAGGGAGGTGAGGGGGGTGAGGGAGGTGAAGGAGGTGAGGGAGGTGAAGGAGGTGAGGGAGGTGAGGGAGGTGAAGGAGGTGAGGGAGGTGAGGGAGGTGAGGGAGGTGAGGGAGGTGAAGGAGGTGAGGGAGGTGAGGGAGGTGAGGGAGGTGAAGGAGGTGAGGGAGGTGAAGGAGGTGAGGGAGGTGAGGGAGGTAAGGGAGGTGAGGGAGGTGAAGGAGGTGAGGGAGGTGAGGGAGGTGAGGGAGGTGAGGGAGGTGAGGGAGGTAAGGGAGGTGAGGGAGGTGAGGGAGGTGAGGGAGGTGAAGGAGGTGAGGGAGGTGAGGGAGGTGAGGGAGGTGAAGGAGGTGAGGGAGGTGAGGGAGGTGAGGGAGGTGAGGGAGGTGAAGGAGGTGAGGGAGGTGAAGGAGGTGAGGGAGGTGAGGGAGGTGAGGGAGGTGAAGGAGGTGAGGGAGGTGAGGGAGGTGAAGGAGGTGAGGGAGGTGTGAGGTCGGCAAGGGGATTCGGAAGGCCATGTGGGTGAGGTGCGGCAGCTACAGATCGGAATAGTGCCGGCCGGGGAGAATCAGTATTACCACATGCATGAGGCAAGGTGCGCATCTGATGTAAGGTTCGCTTCGCGGCGAAGCGGTTCGCTTTTCTTACTCATGCCCAAGTAAAAAACCGCCTATCTTACACCAACTCACCGTCACTTGAACACCGCCTCCCTTACAACAACACCTCACCATCACTTTAACAGCGCATCCCTCATAGGTACTACTCACCGTTGATTCAAACAACCACATCCTTTGCAACAACTGTTTATCACTTGATGCCCACCTCGCTCACACCCACCTCGCTCACACCCACCTCGCTCACACCCACCTCGCTAACACCCATCCATCCATCCACACACCATCCAACGCAGGCAAATGTGAAGCCCACCATGCCACCACCAGCTATGCTCAACCTTTTCTCCTTTTGACTCGACTCAAAAGTCACCATCAATGCACCATCCACGCACCATCCACGCACCATCCATGCACCATCCACGCACCATCGCAGGCAACAGTGAAGACTGCCATGCCACCAACAGCAGCTACGCTCATCCCTTTCCCCTCCATCGTCTTCAAATACTCCCCCACCCACGGCTCCACTGCCGCGAGTACCCGTGCCCCCCAATCCTCGTCTCCTCCCGCCTCTCCGCTTCTCCCAGCTGCCCCTGTCGGCGCCTTCTCCTCCCCCTCCTTCCCACCCTTGGCACCACCCTCCAACCCCAACATCCCTGCAGCCTCATGCTGGTCATCCCTCTCAGCCTTCTCAAGGGGCCTAGGCGTTGGGAACAGCAAGATTGGCTCCTCGTCGTCCCTTCCCTCGCCTGCCGCCTTCTCTTTGCCACCTGCTGCTCCCTTCCCTTTCTCCTGCCCCTCAACCAGCCCTGCAGCAGAAGATGCATTTCCAGCAGCCGCGCCAGAAGCAGCAGCAGCAGCACCAGCAGCAGCAGTCGCGTTGCCCGGCTCTTTCACCCACCACAGCCCCGACTTCTTCAGTGCCTCGATCTTCGCGCCCTTCCCTCTCACATAATTCGCATGCACCATCACCACTCTCGGCCGCACCTCCACAAACTCCTCCCAGTGCTCCTGCATCAGGTGCCCAGACGGGAACTGCAGCGGCGGCAGCACGCCAATCCGAGGCAACACACCCCTCTGGTACATCCACTGCATGACTAGATTGAACTGAGCCTGATCCAACCCTCCCTTGCGACCGAGCTTCGCGATCCGAAACGCCCAGTTGCCTACGAGGCTCTTGGCGGCGGCGGTGGGGCGGAAGAAGAGCAGGCAGGTGCAGAAGATGCGACCCCCTTTGTTGAGAAGGCCCGTATAGGTCGGATCCATGGGGTCTGTGTAGGGCGACGGTTGCTCCCTGTACCGATCGATGCTCACAAACATGTCGAAATTCAAGCTGCTGATGTCAGCGACCACGTCAGCGGCAGCAGCAGCAACAGCAGCAGGAGCAGGAGAAGAAGCAGAAGCAGACGCAGACGCAGACGCAGACGCAGACGCAGCAGCATCAGTGGCATGGCTGGTTGTTTGGAAGAAGGGGAGGGGGTTGTGCAGGAAGGCGATGTCGATATCGCTGTAGAGAACGGAGAAGCCAAAGGAGAGGAGGTGGTGGATGTAGACTGCTCGGTGGGATGCCACACTGAAGAAGCCCGCTGAGTTGATGTCAACCTCCTTCCTCACATCCACGTTTTCCTCGTCGTTGAATTGTCCGTTCAGGTCCAGGCGAATGGCCTGCAGCAGCGGCAGGTGGGAAAGAAAAGCCATGCTGAGAAAGACTTCTGAGGCGCCACAAAAGCCACGCTGAAGAAGAAGCCCGCTGAGTTGATGTCCACCTCACCTCCTTCCTCACGTCCACGTTCTCCTCGTCGTTGAATTGCCCTGTCAGGTCGAGATGAATGGCCTGTGGGAATAGGAAGGGGAGGGGAGGGGTGAGAGAGCAGTGTGTTAATGCGCAACGCCGATTGGATAATGCCCCTTCCCCTCCACATCCACGCTCAGGTCAGATGCCACGCTGAAGAAGAAGCCCGCTGAGTTGATGTCCACCTCACCTCCTTCTTCACGTCCACGTTCTCTCATCGTTGAATTGCCCTGTCAGGTCGAGATGAATGGCCTGTGGGAGAGAATGGGGAAGGGAATGCGGAGGGGTGGGAGAGGGGAGGGTATACGGGGGATTGGTGGGGTGGGGGATTCTCCTCGTCGCTAAACTGCCCGCTCAGATCCAGATGAATGGCCTGCGGGAATGGAGACGGGAGGGGTGAGCGAGAGGAAGGAGGAAGGAGGGTATAGGGGTTCTGGGTGGGGTGGGTGGGGGGTTGTGCGCCTCTGATGGCCGGTTAGTTAATAGCTGACTCTTTCTCCACGCCCACACTCTCCTCGTCGTTAAACTGCCTGCTCAGGTCCAGATGAACGGGCTGCTGGAGGGAATGGGGGAGATGGGATGATAGGAAGGAGCTGGAGAGGGAAGAAGGTGGGAGGGGAGAGGGTGATGAGATATGGCCGACAACTTTTGAGGCATCTCAAAAGAACATGGATTGCCGTTCGAGAGATGGCTCTTGTAGTGAATGAATGGGGCATGTGGGGCATTGCGGGAAGGGAACTCTCTCACCTGTCCCAGCCATTTAGAATGAGCGAACTCGCAGATTGCAGTGATTGATGGGGCACGCTTGCGTGACGTTGCGGGAACTCACTTGTCCAGGCCATTTAGAACGAGAAAGTTCAAGGATTGTGTTGTCTGCAGCAAAAAAGTATTTTTTAGGCGCCTCAAAAGCAGGAAGTCACCTGTCCAGGCCATTTGCATTGAGCGAATTGAAGGATTGTGTTGTCGGCTGCGAAGAGAAGGGAAATAAGGGAGCAGGGAAGGGGAAGTCACCTGTCCAGGCCATTTAGACTGAGCGAATTGAAGGATTGTGTTGTCTGTTGCGAAGAGAATGAAGTGGCCGCTCAGACCCACCCGCTCCAGATGCAGCACCCAGTTCTCCAGCATGTCCTCGAAACCTGGTTGCCCGGGTGGCGATGTCACAGGGTAACATGGTAACAGGGAAATAAGGGAGCAGGGAAACAAGGCAATAGGGGGAAAAATAGGAACCTGGTAACAGGGAAACAGGGAGGATCAGGAAAGGAGGGCGTGAGAGAGCAACTGGAGAGTCTTCAGATGTAGCAGGCAGATATTCAGCGAGTTGTCGCCATTGCCTGGCAGGAATGGGGATGTTCGTCCACTCAGAAGCCATACACACCTGCGTCCTTCAAAAGTAAGCATACTGCCATAGCCCCGGCCAGCATACAGGCGGGTAACCAACAAAGCAGTTACGAGGTGACTTTTGAGTCGACTCAAAAGCATACTGCCATAGCCCTGGAGAGCATACAGGCGGGTAACCAGCAATGCAGGCACGGTCTGGATGCAGCATGGACGACTCAACGTTTCACGCAGCGACAGGGTAACAGGGTAACAACACGAAGAAAAACCAGTGAGGAGGGAAACAGGCGAGAAGTCAGTTCTTCAGCATGTCTCGCAGGCCGGAATCAGGGGTAACATGGGAAGGGAATACGGTAACTGACCCGGTAACGGAATACTGGGAAATGACGGGCAGGAGAATGTAGCGAGCCATCATCGCACCTGCATTGGACAACGCGATAATGATGGTCCCGTTAAGCGAGAGGCGGCTGGCCATCTCCCATAGCGCGCCGAGCTTCTCATGAAGCTCGCCGAGGCCGCCGTCTTCCGTTAGGCGACGATGGACTGGTTCGCGAAGGGGTTCGCGAAAAGCTTTGGCGAAGGAGCAGGCGATGAAATGGGTGCTGAGGAGAAACGCGACTAGGAGGAGGAGAGACGAACGGAAGAGGGATCGACGGGGAAACGAGGAGGTTCCGAGCACACGTGGCGGTTTTCCTGTGGCTGAACGATCCATCGCTAACAACGCTTGCCGGATCGCAAAATGCAGGGCTCGTGCGAGTTAGTGGATCTATTAGTTGTAGTATAAAGTGAACGTCATGTTGTGAGTGTACGGGGTGTATGGAATTGAAACCCATTGCTGCTGCTTCATATGTACCTTCCAAAGCAAGGCCTGAAAATCGGTGGACATTGGCCGGCAAATCCCTTAGTCCTAGTGCACAGGCCAGGGGGAGGCTGGGTAGGGCATGAGGATGCGTTGCACACACAGGCGGAGGAAATTCCGATGTCCCCTTTTGCTGCCATACTTTTACTGTATTAGTGAGAGTAGGACCTGGACAGGGAGAAACAATGGAACACCCAGGCTGCAACTGTCAGCAGGATCCCTGCGACGGGTTTGGGATCACGAGCCTCGCGACCCCATTGCGAAGCATTGCGGCGTTAGCGAAACGATTACAGAGACTTGGATTTCTCAAACTGTAACTTACAGGTTCGGTTGGGTTGCTAAATCCCTAAAAGTGTGAGAGGTTTGCTGAAATGAATTTTAACATTCCCTTCTCAACGAATGGTAGCTCCAATTGCAAAGATCTTACCGGGCGAAAGTGCTTTGCCCGTTACTGGCCGTCGGTGATTTTTATACTGTGCACCAGCTTCTCCAAAAAAAAAAAAGGATGTATAAGTGCGTGCTGCTTTTTTTTTAGATGATTTGCATGTGGATTGTTCACGCATGGCAACGTTTGTACAATTACAACCATTTCTACAACCAGTGAGCACCGAGCACACACCACTTCCCGACAGCTAGCTGTTCCCAACATCGAATCAATAGGTTGTTTAGTAGCCTAATTACTGTATCTACTCTTGCGTTGCCCCACTCACGAAGAAGCACATGAGTAAAAGAACCCAAATGCAACACACATAAAACCCCCCCTCAAGATACCCAATCAAAACGCCGAGTCAAGACACCCCATCAAGACATCCCATCCCACACCCCACCCCCCCCCTTCAATCACAACAGCGTATCGACCATGTACGGGGCCTCTACCCAGAGAGCCCCGCCTTCCACATCGACATCGTCCCTCTCCCGGTCCACCAAATCTACGTTAACCCCCCCCATGGAAGATGCCGCTCGAAGCAGGATGACACGGGCTTGTGCACGTTGTAACGCCACCCCGATGAGCGCCTTCAGTGACCCTAAAAGGTAAGCCGAAAACACAGAGTCGTCCTCTCGACAAGCCCCCCGCGACACAGCTAGCCCCACGTGCGCATCCCCCTGCTGACGAAGCCACCGCTGAAAACGACCGCCGAGACACCCCCACGTCTCAACTATCAAAGGGGTGAACTGCACGCCCCGGTTGCGTGCAAGCAGAGGCGCGTAATCACTCGTTTTGCGACGCTCCCACTCCCTTGCCGCCACACCTATTTGACGCCCGCACTGTCCCAGCAGTGATGGAGACTGCGATAGCGGGTCCGCGACGCTGATCTCTAGGGCGTGAGCCTCTCCAGCCATTGGTCGTCGCACCGCCACATCAACCCGCTTCCCCTGCAGCACCACACTATTCTCCATTGTCACCACCCCCCCCGACGCCTTAGAGATCTTCGCCACCGCAAACTTCACCTCATCATGCACCCGAGATGGACCATGCTGGTGCTTGCATCTCAGGGCATGGTGCGGGTCTGCTGGGTCAACATACGCTGTGCCACAAACACACCTCCCCGCCACCTGCAGCTGCTGAATTGGGAGGCCAAGCCGTATAGCAGCAGCGATGCCCCACTCAGCCGCAGTGAATGTGAGATCTGAGTGAGCCGGAACCGCCGAACCCCATGCACCCGCCCCCGGGCCCTGAAGGGATGTGAAACGGGCCAAGGTAGCATCGTCACGAGCCAAGCGGCGCAGTGCCTGGAGCTCCTCTACAGCTAACTGCCGCTGCCGCGCCTGGAAAAGCCGAACAGGAGGGGCCGCTACACACAGAGGTAAGCCCGGTATCTCGTGGCGGATAGTCGCTGGCAGCTGCTCAAGAGCCTTGACAAACCACGGGTCAAGAAACTCTGCCCCTGTCGAAGTGGTGAGGTACTCTGCAAACATCGCCTCCTCACCCGCCACCCCTAACTGTGCAATGTCATGCGCGGCCTGCGCCCACCCACAAACATAGGACAGTGGGCTCAAAGAGGCCGCCGCCCGGATCCCGAACCCTCCGAGTCGCACAGGGAGATGCAGCTGCATGCGTGCGCGCCTAGACCGGTCGGGGTCCTGCTCCCAAGTGCCAGGTGGGAAAAGCTGCTCAAAGCAATCCTCTAAACAGCTGTCCCAATCCCTAAAAGCCTCAACCACCTCCGAACGCGGCGGCATAGTCCGGGCGAGGTACATCGGCCGCGCTGAAACTGCAATGGCGAGGAGGTGTGAAGCCATCTGAGGGTGGTCGAGCAATTGGAGCCATGGCAGTGGCGCCTGCAACTGTCGAAGCCGCTCCCGTAGCCGGACCACCTCCCAAACCTCCTCCCCAATAGGCACGCCCACCACAGTAAGACCCTCATCCACCCGCTGCATCCCCAATGGCAGTGCCCGCTCCACCTCCTTGCCCTCGCGCTCCCAAAACCGGCACTTGTGTGCCTGCACCTCCAGCCCCACCCACTCCAACCGCTCCCGCAGCACCCCAAAAGCCTCCAGAATCCTAGCCGCTGGCCCCAAAATATAGGTATCGTCTGCATAGCTGAGGAAAGCAGGTCCTTGAACTCCCTAGTAACCGGCTCCATCACCTGCTGCTGCGTGAACGCGAAAAGAAAAGGGCCGAGCGGGTCCCCCTGCCTCGATCCCCGTGCTGACTCGAGGCTCTGTACGAAAGGGCCTGCTAGGAGGTACAGGTCGCTAGGTGTCCCATAAAAAACGCGCAAGAATGGGATCATCCCTGAGAAAGGCGACTCCCACAGCCCATCGAACATCACATGACGGTGAAACGAATTGAAGGCATTTGCGACGTCTATCTGTAGCGCACACCAGTCGGGGTGAGAGGCCAGCGCTGACCAAAAAGAATGAGTGAGAATCTCCGCCCCGACCCTGGTGCCCGCTCCCAGCTGGTTGCACGGCAGGAAGTAGGAAACCATCGCAGGGCGGAGCGAGATGCAGAGAGCTCGAGCAAGGATACGAGGAAGCACCTCCCCGATCGCCACCGGCGGGACGTCACCGTTAGGCTTGGAAAACCCGACTAGGTTGGATGCGGCGAGCCACGGCCGAGCCCGCTCGGGGACCTGTCCCGCCACCCACTGGTTGAACACTTCCAACAGGTGGGAAAGGCAGGAAGGTTCAGTGAGGAAGGTGTCGCGTAGATGCTCTGTGACCCACCCCGATGGCCCTGCTGCTGAAGCTCGAGCGGCTGTATGGATAGCTCTGGCTAGGATGTCGGTCGTGAGTGAAGGCCGCTGAGCAGTATCGATGGTGAAATCGCGGACCCACTGTGGTACCTCGCCAGCGCTAGCCGGGTGCTTCTCTCGCAGCGACTGCACCATGGCCTCAGACGGTCGAGCCAACTCCCCTGCTGTAAGGCAGGCCAATCCTCGGCTCCACTCCCCCACTTTGCACCGAGATCGGCACCGTGACAGGCGTATGGCATCAGGGTCCTGGTCAGAGCAAGTGTAGGAAAGTGGGCGAACTGCTGGCCGCGCCGCCACCATGGCAGAGTCGAACAGCTCCCGCCACCTCCCCTCCCAGAACGCACCCAACTGCTCTGTGATCAGCGCCTTCTGACCTATGCCTGGCTTGGGAGGCACGGCTAGGATGAGGCGCGGAAACGGCAAGAGTAGGAGGGTAGCGGCTTCATCTCCAGGCTGGCTCTTCAAGCGCTTAAGGATGCACAGAGCGCGTCTAAGACCCCCGACCTGGCCCGCTGTGGGATCCGGCGCACTGTCCTCCCTCCAACCGCCTCCACACTGAAAAAAGTTTCCCATTCCCATGACGTAACCCCAGCCCACGCCTCGTCCCCAAATTCCCGCGGCGTCGATCGCTCCTGCGTGTCGGTCTCCACCAGGAGAGCCTGTGCACGCCTCTCCGCCTCAGCTGCCCGGCATACCCTCATGTGGTTCGCAGCGGCCCCTCGCGTAGCGGAAGTGTGGAAACACGTGTCACACGGAAAGCGGGGGCATGGGGAAGGCGGCATGGGAGGTTCTTCGTCCGCCTCTGACTCCTCCGCAGTCGCCATGGGGGTATCAAACTCCAAAAGTCGACACCACTCCTCCAACTGTTGCTCCTGGTCGTCCATCGATCGCCCCCCTGCTTGCTGCGCTCCTTGGGGTGCCCAGGGCACCCTCGGCTGCCCCCCTGGCTGCTGCGCTCCCTGGGGTGCCCCGGTCACCCCCGGCTGCCCCCCTGCCTGCTGCTCTCCCTGGGGTGCTCCGGGCACCCTTGGCTGCCCTCCTGCCTGCTGCACTCCCTGCCCTCGTGCCTGCTGCACTCCCTGGGGTTCCCCGGGCACCATCGGCTGCCCTCCTGCCTGCTGCACTCCCTGGGGTGCTCCGGTCACCCCGGGCTGCTCCCCTGCCTGCTGCTCGCCCTGGGGTGCTCGGGTCACCCCCGGCTGCCCCCCTAGCTGCTGCTCTCCCTGGGGTGCTCCGGTCACCCCCGGCTGCCCCCCCGCCTGCTGCTCTCCCTGGGGTGCTCCGGGCATCCTCGGCTGCCCTCCTACCTGCTGCACTCCCTGGGGTGCCCCGGGCACCCTCGGCTGCCCTCCTGCCTGCTGCACTCCCTGGGGTGCCCGGGGCACCCTCGGCTGCCCTCCTGCCTGCTGCACTCCCTGGGATGCCCCGGGCACCCCCAGCTGCCCTCCTGCCTGCTGCACTCCCTGGGGTGTTCCGGGCACCCCCGGATCCCCACCTGCCTGCTGCACTCCCTGGGGTGCCCCGGGCATCCTCGGCTGCCCCCCTGTTTGCTGCACTCCCTGGGGTGCCCTGGGCACCCTCGGCTGCCCTCCTGCCTGCTGCACTCCCTGGGGTGCTCCGGGCACCCCCGGCTGCCCCCCTGCCTGCTGCACTCCTTGGGGTGCCCCGGGCACCCTCGGTTGCCCTCCTGCCTGCTGCACTCCCTGGGGTGCCCCGGGCACCCTCGGCTGCCCTCCTGCCTGCTGCACTCCCTGGGGTGCCCTGGGCACCCTCGGCTGCCCTCCTGCCTGCTGCACTCCCTGGGGTGCTCCGGGCACCCCCGGCTGCCCCCCTGCCTGCTGCACTCCCTGGGGTGCCCCGGGCACCCTCGGTTGCCCTCCTGCCTGCTGCACTCCCTGGGGTGCCCCGGGCACCCTCGGCTGCCCTCCTGCCTGCTGCACTCCCTGGGGTGTTCCGGGCACCCCCGTCTCCCCACCTGCCTGCTGCACTCCCTGGGGTGCCCCGGGCACCCTCGGCAGCCCTCCTGCCTGCTGCACTCCCTGGGGTGCCCCGGGCACCCCCGGCTGCCCCCCTGCCTGTTGCACTCCCTGGGGTGCTCCGGGCACCCTCGGCTGCCCTCCTGCCTGCTGCACTCCCTGGGGTGCCCCGGGCACCCCCGGCTGCCCTCCTGCCTGCTGCACTCCCTGGGGTGCCCCGGGCATCCTCGGCTGCCCCCCTGTCTGCTGCACTCCCTGGGGTGCCCTGGGCACCCTCGGCTGCCCTCCTGCCTGCTGCACTCCCTGGGGTGCTCCGGGCACCCCCAGCTGCCCCCCTGCCTGCTGCACTCCCTGGGGTGCCCCGGGCACCCTCGGTTGCCCTCCTGCCTGCTGCACTCCCTGGGGTGCCCCGGGCACCCTCGGCTGCCCTCCTGCCTGCTGCACTCCCTGGGGTGTTCCGGGCACCCCCGTCTCCCCACCTGCCTGCTGCACTCCCTGGGGTGCCCCGGGCACCCTCGGCAGCCCTCCTGCCTGCTGCACTCCCTGGGGTGCCCCGGGCACCCCCGGCTGCCCCCCTGCCTGTTGCACTCCCTGGGGTGCTCCGGGCACCCTCGGCTGCCCTCCTGCCTGCTGCACTCCCTGGGGTGCCCCGGGCACCCCCGGCTGCCCTCCTGCCTGCTGCACTCCATGGAGTGCCCCGGGCACCCTCGGCTGCCCTCCTGCCTGCTGCACTCCCTGGGGTGCCCAGGGCACCCTCGGCTGCCCTCCTGCCTGCTGCACTCCATGGGGTGCTCCGGTCACCCCCGGCTGCCCTCCTGCCTGCTGCACTCCCTGGGGTGCCCCGGGCACCCCCGGCTGCCCTCCTGCCTGCTGCGCTCCCTGGGGTGCTCCGGGCACCCTCGGCTGCCCTCCTGCCTGCTGCACTCCCTGGGGTGCCCCGGGCACCCTCGGCTGCCCTCCTGCCTGCTGCACTCCCTGGGGTGCCCCGGGCACCCCCGGCTGCCCCCCTGCCTGTTGCACTCCCTGGGGTGCTCCGGGCACCCTCGGCTGCCCTCCTGCCTGCTGCACTCCCTGGGGTGCCCCGGGCACCCCCTGCTGCCCTCCTGTCTGCTGCACTCCCTGGGGTGCCCTGGGCACCCTCGGCTGCCCCCCTGCCTGCTGCACTCCCTGGGGTGCCCGGGGCACCCTCGGCTGCCCTCCTGCCTGTTGCTCTCCCTGGGGTGCTCCGGTCACCCCCGGCTGCCCCCCTGGCTGCTGCTCTCCTTGGGGCGCCCCGGGCACCCAGGGCTGCCCCCCCACCCGCGGGGCTCCCGGGGTTGTCTCGGTCGCCCCCGGCTGCCCCTCCGCCTGCTGTGCGGCAGCACCGCTTCCAGTCCGCCCTTGCGTCTTACGGGCGTGTCGTCTCCCGCCTCGGCCCCGTGCCCGGGTTCTCTTCGCTTGGCTTGTAGAGTCCGCACTAGCGACCTCCAGCTGCCCCCGCGCCGGCAACTCCCGCCGCTCCCCCTCCGACAGCTCCTGCTGCCCTCCCCCCGACAGCTCCAGCTGCCCTCCTGTTGGCAGCTCCTGCCGCTCTTCCCCCAGCATCTCCTGCTGCCCTCCTGCCTGCAGCCGGGCCTGGTTCCCTGATTGGTCCTGCTGCAGCTCTGGCAGTAGCTCGGCCATCTCCACATCCACCGCTTGCTGCTCCCTTGCCGGCAGCTGCCCCACCCCCGGCGGCTTCTGCTGCTCTTCCCTTGGCAGCTCATGCTGCTCTCCCCCGGGCGGCCCCTGCTGCCCTCCTGCCTGTGGCCAGGCCTGGTTTCCCGATTGGTCCTGCTGTGCCTCTGGCTGTAGCTCGGCCATCTCCACTTCTACCGCTTGCTGCTCCCTTGCTTGCTGCTCCCTTGCCAGCAGCTCGTGCTGCTCTTCCCTTGGCAGCTCATGCTGCTCTCCCCCGGGCAGCTCCTGCTGCCCTCCTGCGTGTGGCCGGGCCCGGTTCCCCGATTGGTCCTGCTGCACCTCTGGCTGTAGCTCGGCCATCTCCACTTCTACCACTTGCTGCCCCTCAGCCGGCAGCTCCTGCTGCCCTCTCGCCGGCACCTCCTGCTGCCCTCTCGCCGGCACCTCCTGCTGCCCTCTCGCCGGCACCTCCTGCTGCCCTCCCGCTGGCGCCTCCTGCTGCCCTCCCGCTGGCACCTCCTGCTGCCCTCCCGCTGGCACCTCCCGCTGCCCTCCTGCCTGCAGCTCCTGCTGCCCTCCCGCCGGCAGCTCCTGCTGCCCTCCCGCCGGCCGCTCCTGCTGCTCTCCCTTCGGCAGTACCTGCTGCTCGCCTGCCGACCGCGCCTGCCGCCCTCTTGCCTGCGGCTCTTGCTGCCCTCTCGCCGGCAGCTCCTGCTCCCCTCTCGCCGGCAGCTCCTGCTCCCCTCTCGCCGGCAGCTCCTGCCCCCCTCTCGCCAGCAGCTGCTGCTCCCCTCTCGCCGGCAGCTCCTGCTGCCCTCCCGCCGGCAGCACCTGCTGCCCCCTTGCTTGTGGCTTCCGGGCCTCCCCCAACAGCCAGTTCTGCTGCCCCCCCTCCTGCCTCGAGGGCTGGGTCCCCGCTGGACTCCACTGCTGCACTTCCGCCCGGGCTCTCCGTCTCTGTTCCTGCCTTTGGGCCAGGCGAGGCCCGCGCGGAGCTGTGAGGGCTGGGCGTGCCGAGGCCCTCCGCCGCCTATCATGAGACTCCTGCAGTCGCCGGCGGTGTGCCTCCCATGCAGCCATCGCCGCGTCATCACCAGTACCTTGCCTGTGCACCCCATGACCGCACTCGCCCTCGTCCGTCACGTCCAGGTCCCAGCTGGAGATGGTGTCGCTGCTGCCTACGAAGCCGCCGATAGTGTCTTTGGGTGGTTCCTCCATCCCCCCCTCTGTCGAGAGGGGTCCATACCTTTGTCGCTTGCTGGGCTTGCCAAAAAGGCAGAGTGCATCCTCGTGGTGGAGGCGACAGAGTTGTGGGTATTGCATACTCAGCGCTGCCTCCCTGGGTCTCTTGTGGCCAATCCTCGCGATGATCTTCCTCCCCCGGTCTGGGGGGTCTGGATCGTTGCTCATGGCGTAAGCTGTTTGCGGGGAGCGCTGGAGGGGCGCCTCCCGCCTTCGATATAAGGTTCGCAGTCCAGGTGAGTCGAAGGTGTTGGGCGTCGCTGGCGCACGGAGACTCCCCTATACGTTGGACGCTCCTACCTGCAGGTGTTGGTACCTAGGCGCGGGTCTCGCTTTGTGGTCCTCCCTACACGCGGTAGTCGCTGCCTAGGCGCGAGCCTCACTGCGATGGCGCTCCTACGCGCGAGTATAGCTGCCTGGGCGCTGATCCCTCCGCCGCGGTGCGGATTTCGCTGCTACGGCGCGGATTTCACTGTTACGTGACGGATTTCACTGCTCTTTGCCCGGACTTCGCTGCTACGGCGTGCACTTCGCTGCTTCGGCGCGCACTTCGCGGCTACGGCGTACACTTCGCTGCTACAGCGCGGACTTTGCTGCTACGGCGCGGATTTCGCTGCTTAGGCATGGATTTCGCTGCTACGGCGCGCAATTCGCTGCTACGGCGCGCACTTGACTGCTACGGCGCGCACTTCGACGCTACGGCGCGGGCTTCGCTGCTACGGCGCGGATTTCACTGCTACGGTGCGGATGTCGCTGCTACAGCGTGGGTTCTGCTGCCTAGGCGTGGATGTCGCTGCTACGACGGGGATTTCGCTGCCACGGCGCGAATTTCGCTGCTATGGCGTGGATTTCGCTGCTACGGCACGATTTTCGCTGCTGCGGTGCGGATTTCGCTGTTACGGCGCGGGTTCCACTGCCTAGCTGCGCGCTGCAACCTGCAGTTCGCGGGCTAAGCGGCTAAATCACCGGTTGATCAGCAAGATCGCTGCTTTGCAGCTAGGTCGCGGGCGGGGCGGCTAAATTGCTGGCTGAGCGGCTAAGATGCGGGCTAGGCGGCTAGATCGAGGCGTAGGCGGCTAGATCATGGGCTGGGCGGCTAGATCGCGGGCTGGGCGGCTAAATCGCGGGCTGGGCGGCTAGATCGCGGCCTGGGCGATAATCACCACAGCGTGTTGCTTTTTCTTGTTTACCTTCCGTCGTTCATACCGCCCGTCCGGACTAACGGCGGGTTACCATTGTCGCATTAATTTGTAATAATGTTTGTAAGTAACTGAGCGATGTCACACATGTCCATGCTGTTGATGAAAAAAATCTCACTTTTCCTCAATAGCGCACGAGCCATGACCACTTGGTTGCCGGACTGTCCTTCCGAACCACTTGGCTGCCGCCGGGTGCCTGGACACATATCTGGGTAGCTCCTAACTCTCTTCCATTTGCTTGCAACAAGTTAGAGACTCTTCGTGCTCATCCGCGTCGCTCGCCTGAGCTCCTCCACACACCTAGCCTCTGTTTGTGTGGGAAACAATTTGCAGTAGTAAAAGAAACAAACAAGCAAAAAAACTAATGAACCAGAATCCTCTCTACCACTTCTACCCTGTTGATTCCCTCTCCCTCCTGCCTCTCTCTGTAGTGGCTGTGAGCCTGCTGAGATCTTTGAGCTATTCGCGAGGAATTTTAGGAGCTAGCTTGAGCTGGGGCCCACAGGGCATGCACCGCCATCCAGGCTGGTTGGCGGTGAGTTCTATTGCCAGCACTTCGAATCCAATTGCCAGCTTCGTATTCAATTGCCGGTGCTTGCCACCAACCTGCAAGTACCAACCTCCTCGACCTCTCTCCCTCATCAACTCGCCTCCCAAATTATAGATGAGGGTATAGTACAACAAACTATATGAAAGCGATAAAAGAAACGAAACAAACAAACAAAGGTAAACTACAGACATCCAACTTACACTGGCTGATGAATTAAGTGCATCTAACATGTTGGTTAGCCTCACTTAACACAACACCTGGCGCTGGCTATGTAGGTGGAGCTGGACGTCGCTCGGCCAGACGTCAAACTCGATCACCCACCCCTGAGCCGCAGTACAAGCTCGGGCACCATGACTGGAGTGAGCAAGGGCATAGCTGCAGCGGATGAGAGGGGACAACCACAGGCGGAGGTGAAGACAGGAATGACAGTCAAAGCAAAACCCTAGATTTCAGTTGCGGACGCGGCAAAGGGCAACATCTGCAAGCACGGCAATAGGCACGCAGCAGGTGCGGTGGCAGGCACACAACAACATGCGCGCGTCAGGCGCGACAGGGCGTGGTAGGTGCACAGGGCGCGGTAGGGCGCGCGACAGGCACAAGGCAGGGCACGTGGAAAGGTGCGCAGTAGGGTGTCAGAAATAAGAGGCAGGAATGGATGACTAGAAAGGATGGATGAGTACAAGTAGGGCAAGGTCTAACCCTAAAGTGCTGTACTCAGTAGAGGCTGCCCCACTACAGCCTACAACATAGAAACATAATTTGACACACCCCCATAGGCAAAGTGGGGGATAGCAAGAACAACCAACGGTCACAAGACCAGTCAAGCAAGAGAACAAGCAAAGCAAAGCTCATGGTGGATCTCAAGATCACCACGCATTCTGAGCACAAGCAAGTGGCCACAAGGCCAGTTCACATGCAGAGTTATAAAAGCACAAGCGGTACAGTGATCACAACCTAGCAAAAGCAAGCATGCAGACGTATATATATACATGTATATAGATCACAGTACAAGACAAGTAAAGCAACCAGCAGGTGAGGCAGAGTAGGTACAAGGCATAGAGCAGTGCAAAAACGCTGATGATCACCAGACCCAAGGGCCTTGGTGAAGACATCAGCAGTGTTGGCCCGAGAGGCCACATAAGCAAGGCGCAGCTGACCACGCAACTACAGCTCCTGAACAAGAAAGTAACGAAGAGCAATGTGCTTCGTTCTGTGCTCCAGTCTCTGCTCCTGACACAAGTCAATCATGACCTTGTTGTCAACGTACAGGACTAGAGGAGAACGAGGCCGCTCACCCAAGTCGGTCAGCAGGTAGGTCAGCCAACGTAACTCCTATGCAGCCATGGCCCCAGCGTAGATCTTGGCCTCACAGCTGGAACCAAGCACAGAGGACGAACGAGTGGACCTCCACGAGACAGAACTGGAGCCGAGACTGAAAGAGTAACCCTGTGACGACCGTTGATTCACCTGGTCGTCGGCCCAAGAAGCGTCGGAGTGTCCTGTGCGTACCACTGGACCCCGTCCTCCAAGCACGAGCCCCAAGCCCGATGTACTGCACAAGTAACGCAATACCCTCTGCGCAGTTGTCCAGTGCTCCTTCCTGTGTCTCCCGGGGGCGACGAAGCGAGCAAGGATACTAAGAGAATACGAGAGGTCAGGTCGTGTGCACGTCATCAGGTACATGAGGCAGCCTACAAGCTCTGGATACGGGCCACTCAGCTCTATGGACTCGTCCGAAGGTGGAGCTGAGAGCGAGTGGCCTATAAGAAAAAAGAGGACTGTGCCGAGGAGAACCGAAAGCCGAAGCGCTGAAGGACCTGGTGCACCATGTGCGACTGAGTCAGAGTGATGGTGTCCCAGGTGATATGCAAGCCAAGATAGCTATGCAGCTCACCCAGGTCAGTGCAGGTGTGTCTCTCCTGCAGCTCTGCCTTCACTAGGGCCAGCGCCTCAGTGTCAGTAGTAGCAAAAACCAGGTCGTCGACGTACACTAGAACATAGAAGGGCGGCAGAGAAGTGTCGCTGCGTAGAAGCAGCGACAGGGTAGCAGAGGAAGGAGCAAACCCAAGAGTCGCAAGTGTCGTCCTTAGTGTGTCGTGCCACTCGCGAGGCGCCTGGCGGAGACCGTAGACTGGCCGCCGGAGGCTCCGCTGGGTACCCGCAGGAAACAACCCGGTGAAGCCAGGTGGGCG